GCAGGTAGCATTCAGTCGTCACAAGGTACAGCTCTGACAAAGCTGAAGCGACATAACACGAAGGGGCACAGCTTGGCTCTCCGCACAGATGCGCATGCACGTAATAAAGGAGGTCCATAGAACCAGTTCATGCCTCGGGCGAAAAGAAAAATTAATTCCCGATTAGCCTCTGCTGCCCACTCTTCCTCCCTTGGCAAATTAGATTTTAGTGCGACTAGTAAATCGGTGTGTTTTTCTTGAAAATACATCTTGGCCAAAATAAAAAAAGAAATATAACTTGTCTAAGACTGCAAATTGGTAGTGGTAGCCCCCATACTACAGAATACTTCCAATTTAGATTTTAAAAGCACTGTTATATTCCAGTTTCTGCTGAAGTGCCTATTTTTAAAATACATTTCCTCTTAAAAAGATAAAATGCTGCTTCTGCTAATGTAAAGCTTTTTAGAAATAGACAATCAGCTGCACTCAAGCACTCTCTGAAGTGAAAGTGAACAAATTAACTTTCTTCCCGGTTTTGAAAACTGAAGGCAGCTTTCCATAAACCTAGAGAGGCTGAGGATAGGAGAAACATGACATGTTTGGCTGACGGATGCCCATCAACTGTCTTCCCAATTCCAAAGTGTGAAATATTTTCATGACATTTTCTGGTGGCTACCAAACGTGGCGCAGACCCTGTAACACTGACTTCCAGAAAGTTTTCCCGCAAAACCATAGCAGGTAAAAAAAAACCCCCAAACCCCCCAAACCCAAACAACAATCTCCAAGGATCTTGATGCAGAGATTGCTGAGACAATCAGATAAACTAGTCTTCAAGATGAATAGGGGGAAGTGTGGCAGAGTAAGAGTTGCCATGTGTAATAAGGAGATAAGCCCTTCAAGACAAATTCTGACCCCAATCACGTGAACATGACAAGGGCTGCCTCGTAAGTTGTCAGAGGGAGGTTTCACATTCGTATTAGTCAGAGTTTGCCTGCCCACGTACACGCTTATCTCTGGTTTGCAAAGCTCCTGGCCACTGCGCCATCTTCTCAGGGCAAGAATTTGGCCAGGTCTGCTGGTGTTCCTCCTCCTTCCAGCGACACACCTTGCAGCCCTCAGCATGACTGTTACCCGCTTCAAATCCCGCTTCACTCAGCTCTGAAGCAGCCCATTACGGATCAAAAAGTTCAGGAATATGGAAACGAGTAGCTGTGACAAACTGGGTCAAAGTACAAATTCAGCATTACTGTTATGGGGATGGGCTTCTTTCCACAGGCATCAAGCAGAACGTGGAGTAATCATCTGCTGTGAACCAGAAACTTCACACCAAGCGACGTAAGCACACGGGCATCCAGGAGATGCTGTGAGCTACACCAGTGTATCCAGTTTTCAAAGGAAATCTAGGAACGGATTTTTCACTTTTATCTGCATTGCCCGCCAGCATCTGGATGGAATGCACTTGGGCTAGGTCTGTCCAATCTTGGCCTTAGACTTCTTAATACATACTTCTCCAAGATGCCAAAATATGTGAATATTATCTGTCTTCAATCTGAAACACTCTGCACAGTGTGAACTCAGCGTTATGGAAAGCCTCCAACCCCACATTTCTTTCATCAAAATGTACAGGAAGCAAAACCAGATTTTGGGGTAGGCCCAGACAGAAACTGTACCTTTAGCAATTATCAGATGTCCAGTGACCCCCGCTTGCTGGTTACTCCAACTGTTAGTGAAGACCTTGTCCCAACTCCCTTCTGTCGGCTTCATCAATGCCAGAGGGACCCCTTCCCAGGTAGTGATGGCCTACGTGAGCAGGCCTGGGAAGGACTTCTCTTCCCTGATAAAAGTTTTGCTCTGAAGCAGCAAAGTTGCATTATCGCTTAACACAACTTAAACACAACTGTGTCACTTCAGACCTACTGAGCACGTCAACCAGTGCCAAAATGCAGGAAGACAAAACCCCAGCTATGTGAGACGATTTCTATAGGACTGGTCGAACTGGAAAGGTCCAAGTTCCAGTTAAGAGGTCGTAACCGAACCATCTGCAGAAAATACAGGCAAGCAAATATACAGACATCAGTAGATGGAGACACGTGGTATCACGTGGAAGTGAGCAGACACTCACTTTTTCTGTGAATACTAGGCAATTAGGACAAAGGTAGTAGTCATATTCATTGGTCATCAATTAAGTGTAGAGCCCTTCAAGATAAGTTAAAGCAGAACAAAGGAACGTTGCCCATACTCTTTGTGCCGGAGACAGATATTTTGCTCAGTGACGCAAAGTCAATTGCAAGAGCACATTCAGCCCACAATGAGCAACAGAGAACTGTAATCCCTATGAGCCAAGACCTCCGGATACCAGTTATCTGGTCCTTCTTCAGCATCAGCTTTTTGTGCCTTCCTAGCTGAGAGATGCCACAATGCCAGCAGGCTCCGAGCTTTCGCACCAGGTTCTTAGACGTAGGTCAACATGATGCTACCTGGGAACTGCAAATCCCACTTGGAGAGCAACACCATTGTTCTTCATGACAATGACAAGCGCTGCCAAGGCCAAGAGCATAGCATCTGTCCATATTCGTCTGAGAACCATAACTCCGTGGCAGTCAGCTTGCAAGTCCATACTTGAGAACACGGTATTTAGTCTAAACAATCAAGCAATAAATGAAAATTTTGAAAGGTGGAGAGAGAAAATGCTCCTATAGCTATAAGTTTATTAAACCTAGCATGGTTGAAAAGCAAAAGACGAAAAACATGATATATTTTTGTTTATTATTGCTCTTAAAGGGCTTGGTAGTCAAATATACAAGCTATATTCTATTAAACCAGAAGAAAATAAGATATAAAATCTATGCTCGCTTTTCCAATCCAAGCCACCTGCTAATCTTCATTAGTGACATTAACTTCAGCTATTTCGAGTCATTTTAATTTATACTCTGTGTACGTGCGCGTTTTTTTTTTATACTCTGTGTACGTGCGCGTGCGCGTGTATAAAAAACCCCTATTTGAGGAGATAAAATTCAGAATGAAGAGATTTGTGTTGGTTTTGTACTGTTTTGTGCATTGCTGTATATTTCAATTTTCCAAATAGCTACTGATATGTCTGTTTAGAAGAGCAAAATTTAAGTAACTGATGATGTATTTATTATATTTTCAAAAAGAAAGCATGACTAATAAGTTATGATAAGAAAATACGAAATGTTGATTATTCTCCCCTTGATGTACATGCACTAAATCCCATGATTCCTAATAGGGAGTTACATGCACTAAGAGGAGAAAAGAATCCTGTAAAGAGAAAGGCTATTAATTCCCTTCTCCTTTAAGCATCTCCCCTCTTCTCAGCATTAAGAAGGGATTTATTTTGTGAAATTCTTGTCATGCCCATTAATATACTGCTCAAAATATAATTATAAAACATAGTCAATGGTCAGCCTGCTTTGCAAGCCTCACTCTGCTAAGCCAGTACAATTTATATCTATTCCACATCATCTTCAGGAAGCAAGTATACAGCATTTGTAACATCTTTCTAAGAAGCAAGAATTATATCCATTACTGAATTACTTAAGGGGGAGGGGGGAAGAATAAAGAAAAGAAAGAAAAGCCCACTGCTTTTAGTCCTCCGGTTAAAAAACAGGGAAAAAAGTCAGAGTTATATTTATCAGCATTTGGAAGCCTAACCATATTTAAAGACTGAGTACAAAAACATCCAGCAAGGAAAACAGAGTCATGGCTAGGCTCTGTTCTCCTCAATTCCCAAAGCATATTCCAAATTCCACTAACATTTACAACAATTTTGCATCCCCTATCTTAGGGAAGATTTATTGAGGGGACAAAGATGACATACTAACGCTGGGGCTACGGGTACAATGATTCAGTGAGGATGAGTCTGACAGGAGACAAACAATGTAGGTCATCCTTCAAATCCTCTTGTTGAAAAGACCACAAATAAAAATCAAGTGCATGACAGAACAGTGATTAATGACCCCAAGTAAAATATTTTTCTAAGTTACAAAATTGCTCTTCCAGTGTTTGAAAACAGAAAAACCTGTGGGAGAAGAGGTTACATTCCAACAGTTAGAGTAAATACGAAAAGAAGGTAAATTATTACTCTCTTATCTTGGTTACTAAAGCAAAGATGAAAATAACGACCAATGCTTTGATAAGATCTGCTCTTTACAAAAGTGAGATAAATAACCAGTGACAGCTGGGTTAAAAATACAGACCCCGAGGGTCAGCTTCTGCCCTCAGCCGTAGATCTGCAATCCATTTCACCAACTTCTGAGCACAGCCAAATGCAGATCGTGGCCTTCAGACTTGAACATACAGGTAGTTCCCATCTGTTTGCAAATAATTCTCCAGCTATGCATACAGCAGCAATCTACAAAAATCTCAGAATGTGCGTTTGTAAAAAAGAAAAAAGGGGAAAAAAAGAAGAAAAAAAAAAGACAGGTACAGCCATGATTCCGATCTCTAATTTTCAGTGAAAAAACCCAAAGGTCCACAAGCAAAACTGAAGATATTTAAAATCCCTGAAGAGACCCCATACTCTTTCTAACGCTTAACAACACAGCTCACCTTGCAATATACTTCACACTAACATCTAAAGGACGACCAAGCAGGAAGTGCAGCACACGCTATCATTACAGCACACAGGGTAAGATCCTGGCCCCATTTGAATCAATGTCAAAAAACTCTCATTAAAAGTTCAAGAGATGGCAGTATTCGAAATCTGATTGCTACAGACCTCTCCTTTTCAAATTTTTGTAAAAGACGACATTTTGAAAACTATTGTGCTGATTTCTGCTGCTGCCTCCCGGTTTACTGAGAGAGGTTGGCTGAACTGGACTTTGGCGATGAGAGATGCGAACAGAAATAAACCTTCAATAAGCGCCAAATGCAAAATGTAACTGCTTTAAAAAAAAAAAAAAAAAAAAAGACAGCCCCAGCCATGATTCCGATCTCTAATTTTCAGTGAAAAAACCCAAAGGTCCACAAGCAAAACTGAAGATATTTAAAATCCCTGAAGAGACCCCATACTCTTTCTAACGCTTAACAACACAGCTCACCTTGCAATATACTTCACACTAACATCTAAAGGACGACCAAGCAGGAAGTGCAGCACACGCTATCATTACAGCACACAGGGTAAGATCCTGGCCCCATTTGAATCAATGTCAAAAAACTCTCATTAAAAGTTCAAGAGATGGCAGTATTCGAAATCTGATTGCTACAGACCTCTCCTTTTCAAATTTTTGTAAAAGACGACATTTTGAAAACTATTGTGCTGATTTCTGCTGCTGCCTCCCGGTTTACTGAGAGAGGTTGGCTGAACTGGACTTTGGCGATGAGAGATGCGAACAGAAATAAAAGGAGAAAACGTCGGGACAATTGAATAAATTTCCTTCTTTGCACGACTCCAAATCCCACGGTCACCATTAATTCAGAAAACAAAACAAACCCAAACAGAGTCAAGATTATCGTACACGTATGATGTGAAACAGGGCAAGCAACACTCAAGACTGAAGTAATACTTCAAAATTAAACAGCCTTGAGCAGTTAGCAGGAGATATGATGAGAATTCTATACTGTTTTAATACTAGTGGATCTGTTCTACGGTATGCGCTGATCAATAATGCCCTGCTTCCAAACTCCACTATCCGTTCTCTCGCATTACAGAAGTTTTAAGACGTTGCCTGAAAATAAAAAGTATCAGTGTAACATACAAATAGAATTTAATCTGTAGCCATGACAACACAGCCTTTCCAAAATGATTCTAACCCAATGAACATCTGTCAATTAATTTAGGAAGGGTTGTTTTGTCCTGGCTCATCAATAAAAAAAAGTTGGAAATCAACAAACATTACGTTGGCTTTAGCAAGAGGAAACATTCAATGGCTCCTGTTGTAAAAGTGAGTGTAGTGCTCCTGACAGAAACCAGTGTATTCAGTCATCTGAAGATGCACGTGGCCACAGCCAATGCCCTCTTTTCCTCCCCCCACCCCCAAGTCCCCCAACAAAGCAAGAAATATTAGCTTCTTCTTCCACCCCACCCCGGATTTTCTCCCATAGTTTGACTACAGTAATCCTTAAACAGGCAGAAAGTTGATGCGTTCTCTTCAGTTGATGCCTCCAACTTCTTCATTCTTGGCTCAAGTTTTATTCATTAATATTAGTCATCAGTTATTAAGAAAAAGATAGTTTCTAAGTGTTTGTTGTTGTTTTTTAACTGAAGTTAATTGGATACCATAGTCTGGTTATACGTGCTGAACTGCAGCTGCCAGTTATTCCTTTTTCTTGAATTCTTGGTTGCCATAGCTGGAGCCTTTCTCTATTTCAGTTACTCCTATCAGTCTACGAACTCCAAAGGAAGCTTTAAAATATAACAGAGAAATGGGAGGCATATTAAAACCAGTTCAAGGATTTAGGAAGTTACATGTAAACACATAAGCAGAACCAACATGAGTTAACCCAATCCTTGAAGACAGTAGTGACTACAGACCAACAGTGCGCTGTATGAGGCTGCACACAGATCACAGGTCAGATGTCAATAAACAAGGAGGACAATCCAGATTTAAAAATATAATTAATGCTTCTATGTTGATTAACAGGACAGGTAGTATGAATGCTGAAGCATACCCTCCCCCCCCCCATTTCGTTTTGGGGTTTTTTTTTGTGTGTGTTAGGGTTTTTTGTTTGGGAGGGGGGGGTGTTGGGATTTTTATGTTTGTTTGGTTAGTTTTGTGTTTGTTGGGTTTTTTTTAATTCACAGAAAAGGTGCGCAGTAAGAGTATTTTCTCCTTCAGGCACCATAATAATGGGCTACAAGACTCACTTGCTATTGATTGCTATAGATACTGCCTAAGATATGAAGGCAAGCCTGCCTGGATTAAAGCTTTTGAAATAATAAAAATGCTATACAATGTAAAGACTACAGAGTGAGCTCCAAGTACTCTTCTGCAAGCCCCATTCATATTAATACACAGAACTTATTGGAGGTAATGGATCCTGTTACATGTCACTCTGGGCTTAGCATCTTCTCTGCTTTTATTACCTGCTCCAACAAGTCCCAGGAATGCAAGGATAAGGAGAGGTGATCCACTTGCAAAAACTCCAAAGCCAAATGTGAAGAGAGGAGAGAGGAGAACTGTGGCCCAAAAAAGAAAGTTTAGGAGAGTCCACGGTCTTCTAGGAGGTTTAAACTGCTGGCCAGGAAATATGCCTTCCTGATTATACATCTCTTGCAAAGCATCCTGGGAGAAAGAGAAGATAGAAAAAAACATGTTCATAATGTTTGTGCCAAGCAATCCAAGACTAGTCAACTCCAGGACAAAGTGAAGGACAGTATCTGTGGTAAATACCCGTCAAGAGTACACAGCATCCATTCCCATCTGCTGTCATTTATTGGGGCATTTCTGTTGACCGCCAAGGCTACTGTATTAGCCCTTTGAAGGCAATCTTGGCCACCATCAGAAACTGAAACCGTATCAGCCTCTCCACTACCAAATACCTTCATCTCTTCTCCTAATTGCTTAGGAATTTAGGGCAGTGTCAAGCCAGAGGCCAATTCAGACTACCTGCCTCTTTGCGGGATGCTTTTTCTTCCCGTTTTTACTTCCAAAAAGGTCAGCATGATTTAGCAAAGCAGAGCAGAAAAATGCTGTCTATACAGCCAGAAGAGGAAGGCAAAGCACAAGCTAACCAGCAGAGACAGCACTGTGCTAGCCATAACCCCAAGACTTCAACAGAGCAGTTGCATCCTGAGCTGAGCCTGCAGAGAGGTGCCATGATGAAACACATCACTCAAAGGAGCAGCATGCCCACGTTCTTCCCTCAGTTTGTAAGAATGTTCTGTAAAGGTTTCCAAGCCATTGCGAAGGATGGCTCAAGTCTGGCTATTTCTTATTTCTTACAAACAATCTGCTGCCTACATACAGACTAAGCGTAAGCTTGGAAATGCTGCAGCACAGGTTATCATAGCAGAAGAAAGCCCAAGACAGGTAAAGTTTCTGTGCTCCTCTGTTTTCCCACAAAGATAAGCAACACAAAAATCAAAATACACATTTCAAGTTCAACAATCCACCAGTTAGGGCTGGGCAACATTAATTACAGTTCTTGCCTCCTCCCCACAGAACTGTTAAATCTGTGGTCAAAAAATTAACCATCTAAGGTAAAAAAAAAAGACAAGACACAAGGAAAAGCTTTGAGCCGTTTGAAGGCATGCTGGCCACGTGCTACATCAGTCCCTGGCAGCAGATCCCAGGAACTGTCTGTACCATGTCACACACCACTGCAGAGGTATTACCAGGAGGCAGAAGGAAAGTGACAGTGAAAGAAACATGAAAGCAAAGGACAATTGCAGCTAAGAACCAGGACCGGCTGTCCCTGACATACAGTTATCACTCTTCTTGAGTGCCTAAATGCACCCACAGGGAAAATGGACCTTTTAGAAATGTATGACAGAGACCCAAGAGCTGAAGAATATGGAAGATGGTGGATTGCTATTAGTCTTCCGCAACTCAGGCATATCTCTGAATCCCATTGTGCTTCCCAGCAATTTGAGACCTACTCACTAGCCAGCCCTCTGCGGCCCAGGGCCTCTTCTGTAATGCTCCTTCCAGTAGTTTGAGGGATGGCTGCCAAATTATACATAATATTTCCATCTCTTCTCTCCATCCAGTGCAAGAGTGTGCATTACTCAGTGCCTTAATGCACTACCCCTGTGAAAGTCCCAAAAGAGAGAAAAGAAAGCAAAGCTGTTTACCTTTTCCTGGTAAAGCTTATGAAGCCAGTTTGCAGCTTCCTTTTCATCTTGAGGGATATCTTCCAGAGGAAATCTCCTAGTTTAGTAGAGAGATTAAAAAAGAAAAAAAAAAAAAGAATTAAGGGAAAATCCAGGTAGTTGACTTTAGACCTCTAGTAGGGAAGATCTTCCATTCAATGAAGGGCATAAGCTAACAGGTAATACTGTCACTGATGGCAGAGGTCTTAAATGCACAGAACTGGGACTTAAATAACACCCGATTCTCCACCTAAAACTCAGACTCCTAAGACAAAAGAAACTGTACAAGCTCCTATCGATTTCAGAGCACATTAGTAAAACAAGCATTTCCCATTCAAATACTCTTCTTCCTTCACCAGAACCGCCACCAGTTGATTCCCAGTGACCTCAGACTGAGGCATCCAGGGCTGGGAAAAGACAAGCAAGCGGCAAACCCCAGGATAATTGTCTGTTACATTTTGTTAGTGAAAACCCCATTTTGGAAGGAATGGGAGGGGTGGTTAAAAATCCACTTCATACCAACTCTAAGGAAAACATCATCTTCTACAGCGACTGCACTTCTCTCTCCGTGCCTCTCCAGCCCTACAGATTGAGGCATGCAGTTCTGGGTGCATATGAAAATTGTGCCCAGCTCCAGGTACTGACCTGACCTCACCACGAACAGGCACCTTTTAAGAGCCTCTTTCTAGTGGTGAAGAGCCAACCATTTTCCTGCATTCTTTTATTTTCCGAGATAGACCACTAACATGCCCACAAATGTATCGTCTCCTTTCTCAGTGGCACACACCTCAGTCCTGTTTCAATTCAGAAAGAAGTTGCTCAGTCTGTAGAGGGCAGGCACACACCTTACCCTCAGCTCGAATGTATTTTGGCAACACTCGGACTGTATCAGGGCCCTCTTACAGCAGGGCAGTAAGAACAGAAGGGTGACCTCTGGGAGGGCTCTAGACACAGTGATCCCAGATACAACTTATTTGCTGCTGCCCAACCGGGGAATGTATTTCCGCAGTACGAACTAAAGCCTTCGAGTCTGCAGCAGCAGAGGGAAGATATTCTAATACATTTCTAATAATTTCTGCATCCTATAAATGAATTGAACACCAGATTTTACAGATTTACTTTCATTAGCTCTAACAGCAGGAGCTGCTCAATTAATATAAATAACGCTCAATAAAAGCTCAGTAAAAAGTCATTTCCTGAAAGCTCTCTAGTAAAGTTGTCACCACTAGAGGGTACTCACAGCAATAACATTTGGTCATTTAGCTGATTATTTTCTCTGGAGCCACTCAGGAGAAAGACTGGATCCTTTGCAGAGAGCTAAGCTTCTTACCTCTGCACAGGTAACTGCATACGCATATACCAAGAACAAGAGCTTACATGCTTCCTTTCTCTGAGCTAAGTCTGCTGGCATATTAAGGACACGTTCAATTTTCAGCAAAAAACCTGTAAAAATAGTTTCCTTATTCTCATAGCTTCCTCTCCAAAACAGAGAAAAAGCTTCAAGTGTAGAAAAGCATCCTGAGAATGTTGATTCAGTCCACAAACATGTTTTAAATCAAAATTATCTGAACATAGTCATTAGTTTCTTTAATAGGGTGTCCTGGTTTCGGCAGGGATAGAGTTAATTTCCTTCCTAGTAGCTGGTACAGTGCTGTGTTTTGGATTTAGGATGAGAATAATGTTGATAACACACCGATGTTTTAGTTGTTGCTAAGTAGTGCTTACACTAGTCAAGGACTTTCCAGCTTCCCATGCTCTACCGACTGAGAAGGCTGGAGGTGCACAAGAAGCTGGGAGGGGGCACAGCCAAACTGGCCAAAGAAACATTCCATACCATGTGACGTCATGCTCAGTACATAAACTGGGG